GACCTAGGCTGCTTCGCGAGGAAGGTGGACCACCTCACTGGTGGCCTCAAGGAACACACGGACTCTTTCGCCTTCTCTGGCCCCGGCAGCCACGACGCCACCAAAGAGGGGTTGCAGAAGGAGCATGCCTCCGACTTCCAGGTACGGGCTTCTTCCCACGTCCCCCGCAGCTGCCGCCGCTTTATTTGCCGCCCCGTTTCCTCCCGCTTTAACAGAGCAAACCCCGATCCCCAACGTAACCTCCCTCCTGCCTCTCCAGAGCAAAACCCAGACTAACACCTCGCTGCATGCCAGTGGCACCGGGGACAAGGTAGGACTCTGCTCCAACAGAGTGTGCCCAGGGCAGGAGGCGGTGGGCATCATGGCGCATCCCGGCATGGGCTGGTCGTGCCGAGGCTGCCCTGCCCATAGCCAGAGGCTCTTGGGTGCGATCCCACCTTAGCAGGGGCCGACTTTTCGGCTGCTCTCCCCCGGCTCAGCCCAACATCCCTAGCTCGGAAGCTTTTTGTTTACTGGGGACGAGCTGGGTGGGAGGAGAGCTGCCTGCAGCCTCCCAAAAGCAGCCCAAATTGCGGGGACCCCGGTTGCAAGAAGCATCGGCCCCCCAGTGGTACCCAGGCAGGGTAATTTGGAGAGCAAGGGCTCCAGGGCAAATCTCCATCCCAAATCTTGGGAGCAGCGGAGAGCAGCTCTCACCCTGCCGTCCCCCTCCTCTCCGGGGGGCCCAGCTCCTGCTGGGGGCCAGCGATGTCAACGGTGGTTGGGGCCGCGGGCATAAGCCCCTTTCTGGAGCACACTCGCTTGTTCAGAGTCCTATTTTTCTGCATGTGGTCCCAGCAGCCCCAGGTCCCAGTCTCCCCCAGTCACTGCATGGCACCGTAACTGGTGTTTGCACATTTTTTCCCTCTTTCTCTCTTTTTTCCCCTTTCCCCAAACAATCCAGGCCACGTGTCTCCTCATCCTGTGTTTCCTTTTAGTTTCTGCATTGTCTCCCGCCATGGTGATGAAGCTCCTTCTCCTCATCATCCTTTTTGTTGTCTTGTAGTTCTTTACTGTTTCGGAGACCCATTGTTTTGTTTTCTGGCTTTTTTTTCTTCCCGCTCTTTTGGTTTGTTCTCATTAACTTGCCCACGCATGCAGCAGCCTGATTTTAGGGACGCCGACCCTTACCGCATCCCCCACACCAAGGACACGGACCCAACGCATCCCCGGAGCTACAAAACCTGCCGGCCTGAGGAGAACGACTCCTACGCCACCGAGGTACGATGCAGGCAGGGAGCCGTTTTAGGGACGCCGACCCTTACCGCATCCCCCACACCAAGGACACGGACCCAACGCATCCCCGGAGCTACAAACCCTGCCGGCCTGAGGAGAACGACTCCTACGCCACCGAGGTACGATGCAGGCAGGGAGCCGCGTCCCCTCGGGCAGCGGGGTTGGGGACAGGGCTGCGGGGATGGGGCTGTCCCTCTTGAGAGCCAGGGACAAGGGAAGCTGTAGAGCCCCATCGGGGAGGGACACGGGGAGGCACGGCCAGGCGCAGCCCACCGTCCCCATCTCCTCCCCGGGCTGTTGCAGATGAAGGAGCTGCAGCTGGTGCTGTCGGAGGCCAACGAGAGCCTGCGTGGACTGCAGGAGCAGCTCTCGCAGGAGAGGCAGCTGAGGAAGGATGAGGTGGACAATTTCTCACAGAAGATCTGCCAGGTGAGTAGGCAACAGTCCTGATCCCTGGGAGACAGATGTTCCCACACCCACGGCCGTGCCACCTCCAGCCCCAGGCTGATGACCCACTTGGGGACCCAGGCGTCACCTGGGACCGCACACAGCATGTCCCATCTTCAAGGGGCACAGGTGGTGAGCACATTCCTCCTTGCACGTGGGGTGTGCAGCCATGCAGGGCTTCCATCCATGGCGATGCCTTGATGGCCCCGCTGTCCCCAGCACGCTGCCAGGGCGTTGCAGCTCCCCAGGGGTGTTAAATATGGGGCCAGTACCAGGTTCAGCCCAGACTCTGGGGCAGAGGCACCACATTGCTGCCACCAGCCCCTGTCCTGGAGCCCACGCATCTCTCCACAGCTGAAGGAGGACCACCAGAAAGCGCTGCTGCGGCGGGAGTTTGAGCTGCAGAGCCTGAACCTGCAGAGGCGGCTGGAGCAGAAGTTCTGGAGCCAGGAGAAGAACCTGCTGGTGCAGGAGTCACAGCAGTTCAGGCAGAGCTTCCTCCTGCTCTTCATGAAGCTCAAGTGGTTCCTCAAGCGCTGGCGCCAGGGCAAGATGGTGCACAGCGAGAGTGAGGACTTTTTGGAGGTACTTTGGGCTGAGGGGCTCCCCCCTTGGCTGCCGTAGAGGGGGGACCATGCTGTCGGGCATCCCTGGCGCTGTCCCTCATGCCTACATGTCCCACCCAGGGCTGCCTGGGTGTCCCCCATCCCTGGCCGTAGGCTGTGGGTCCCCTCATCACCCCAGCTGTGGTGTCTCCCGCAGGTGAACAGCATGAAGGAGCTGTACCTGCTGCTGGAGGAGGAGGAGCTCGCCCCACAGCAGCAGGCGGACAACAAGACGTGTGCTGGGGACGCCTGGACCCCCAACACGGTGAGTGGGGTCCCCACGAGCCCAGGGGGTGGGCAAGATCAGCCCCCGCTGCGGCTGCATGGCATGGGGTAGCAGCTCCTCTCAGGGTGCATGGCTGGGACGGGATGCTTCTGGCTGGCATGTCACCCCCAGGGACGGTCCCCTGCCTTGGTGGCACCCCTGTCCCTCACCCTGGGGGTGGGCAGCCTGCGGGGCTGGGATGCAGAGAGGGAAGCTCCCATGGGGTCCCACCCCGTTGGGTCCCCTCTGCTCACCCCCGATCCCCCGTCAGCCCAACGAGTGCATCAAGACGCTGGCGGACATGAAGGGGACCCTGAAGGAGCTGTGCACGGA